CTCATAGAGTGAGGGGTGAGGGCTTTACTCACTGAGCATCCCCTGGGCTCCTGTTGTTTTCTAAATATTTCCAGGTGTGCACCGATTTTCCCTTTGATCTGACAGTAATTTAGGGGGTAACTCTAAATCCCACAGTGTTGTAGCTTCACCGCTGCCCTATAGTGCAAATTCTAATTAGTCTTAATAAGAAAAACTGGAGTCAGATATCGGGGGGAATGCTGAAAGATCAGAGGGACAAAGGAGTAAGCCACAGCCACCTCTTACCTCTCCAATTTCTCACCTGAAAAGGGGCTCTGCCCTGCCTATCACTTCCTCTCCGCTCAGCCATATCACTTCCTGTTTCCTCCTCCCCGGTGCTGAGATTAGAGGTGTGTGCCACTACTGCCTGGCCTCCATGGTTGACTAGTGCTAACATTGGACTCTGATCTCCAGATAAGGTTTATTTGTTAGAGCACAAACAAAACATCACCGCACTGTCCCATGCGTGTTACTTCTAGTTTTTCTTTATTTGGGTTAGAGAATGAGGTCTCTAGTAGGGGACCTAATTCTTCTTTAGTCCATTAAAGCCAAGTTTCAAAAACTTTTCTTTGTTTTTCTTTTTTTTTTTTTTTTTAAATTTTCAAGACAGGGTTTCTCTGTAGCATTGGAGCCTGTCCTGGAACTAGCTCTGTAGACCAGGGTGGCCTCGAACTCACAGAGATCTGCTTGTTTGTGTCTTCTAAGTGCTGGGATAAAAAGTGTGCATCAAAAACTTTTTTTATGTTGGGTTTTTTGTTTGCTTGTTTTTGTTTTTTGAGACAGGGTTTCACTGTAGCTTTGGGGCCTGTCCTGGAACTAGCTCTTGTAGACCAGGCTGGCCTCGAACCCACAGAGATCCACCTATCTCTGCCTCCTGAGTGCTGGGATTAAAGTTGTGCACCACCACCACCCAGCTGTATGTTGGTTTAAAATAGGTTAATGACTCAGAAAAAAGCCAATATATTAAACATGGTTAGTTTTACATAAAATTTAAGTAGTTTATTATCAATTTCACTCAGTGAATTATTAGGGAAGCCTTTCTTGATGTATATTTTAGATGTAGGAGCTCTTTCTCTGTTTTAATGTCTGTTTGTCACCCCCTTTCTCTGTCTCTCTCTTAATTACAGGAGTTTGTTGACTGTAGGCTTCCTATTCAAGTGTCTACTACACATAGGAGAGTAGGATTGTTTGCCATAATAGGGTGAAGTTAACTGGCAGGAGCAAGGGATGCAGAGGAGGAAAGTGGAAAGAGGGGAATTGGGTTCAGAGGATGCTTGAGAACAAAGGGAACCTTTAACTGAAAAAGTAATATACTTTTGTATATATTTTGAAACACTCTGTCCAAATCCTAGGCTTTACAAGATAGTTTTGAATATAAACAAGGGTTGTTCTCTAAGCATGGTGGGAGGTTTGCAAATGTAAGCCCAGGCTGGGCTTCATAGTGAGACTCTGAAACAAAACAAAACAAAACAAAAGAGGTGAGTTTATCTATAATGATGGAAGGATATAGCTAGGAGATGGAGAAGACAGTTGGTGTGAACTCTCAGAGTGGGGTGGAGGGCTCTGTTTCCACGACCGCCCGGGGTAAGTGAATGCCATCCAGGGTAGTGCCTATCTGAAAGAAGTCATGGATTTTCCCACTGTGCTCAAAAATTTAGATCCACAAACCGAATGACATATTTAGTGCATGGTATATCTATGTTGTATTGTGTTCTATTTGCACCTTTTCTGTGCTTGTAGCATTGAAAGAGGCCATTGATACGCTGGACTCCATGAAAGGAAGTTATTGGTCTGATAAAGTCAGCTCTCTGGAGGGACTGGAAAATGCCAAGGGTAAGTTGATTAGGCAGACAGCCAGCGGCTTATAATTACTTTTACTTTACATCTTTTAAATTAAGGGAGCTTACCCATGGGCTTTCAGTTTTAATGGTTAACATTACTGTTTTTCTGGGTTTCCCTAAAGATTATTTTTAGCCATGTGTATGTGCATGTGTCTGTGTGCGGGTACACAAGTGCAGGTGCTGGAGACCAGAGACATTAAACCTGCATGGAGACATAGGAAGCTGGGAGCTGCCCCATGAAAACAGGGCTGAGTACCTCTGCAAGAGTGTCCGAACCATCTCTTCAGCCCCTTTCTAAATGTTTATTCAAGGATTTCAAACTATTTTTTACCATATACCAATTAATTAATAATAGTTCCTAAATAATGGTATGAATACATTGGAACACTACTTAGTGTAGATTAGATTTTGGACTATATTTCACAGAGATTAAATTTTTTTAAAGATAGTTTTATTTTTATTTTGCTTGTATGAGTGTTTTATATGCATGTATGTGCATACATCCTGTGCATGACAGGTGTCTATGGAGACCATAAGGGGGCATTGGTCTCCTGAAGTGGTGTTGCAGATGGTTGAGAGACACTTCCTGTGTTCTGGGAATTGAACCTGGGTTTTCTGCAAGAGCTCTTAGCCACTAAACTGTCTCTCCAGAGCCTAAAGAAATTTCGTTATAAAATTAAATGCTTTTGTGGTCCCGTGGGCTGTATTGCAAACTGAATCTCAGATGATTTCATCATGTTGTTGTGCGTCTTCAAAATAGTGTTTATTTCTACACAAATTTCATTCCAAATTAATACATTTTTGTGTGTATTTTAGATAATCTTAGCACTAAAGTTTCCCCCTCCTGTCTTTTTGTCCTTTTCCTCCCCCATTTCTTGTTAGAGGTTATTAGGTAAAGTACTGTTGAATAATTTAATTGAAGCATGCTTGTTTTTGTAGCCAGTTATGTTATCTGCTTATTTACAAAAAGTTTACTTGATCTTTTGTATGTCTCTTAACTATATTTTGAAAGACATTTACTGCATTTGGATAGAATTTTAGCAAAAAAAATATAGATAGTTAAAATTTTCCCAAGAGATGGCCAGTGAAATTTGACCATCACACCCTGTGCCTTACCCCTCATAATTTCCTGAGTGTCTTTAGGACAGTCTTTATTGCTAGAGCCAATGAGGAAGGACTACATCTAGAGAGTAGAGACAAGAGCCACGGGCTAAGCATCCTCACCCTGCAGTACCCGTGACGGTACCACTGCAGTCAGCAGTGATCTGGACCAAAATGTTAATAGTGCCGAAATCATAGAGTCATCTCCAGAATTGTTCAACCCCAACACTTTGGAAGTATTTTTTTAATAAGGTTAGGTCATCATACCCAGACAAAAAAATTTAAGGTATGATGTATGTGTGTCTTAACCTCTGTTTATTTCAAATAATACCCTGCTACCTATAAATGATTCTAAAACATTCTTCAACTGCAGTCAGACCACTTACACAAAGAGAGTGGGGTTGGGAAGGTGACTCAGCAGTTAAGAACACTGGCTGTTTTTCTTGGGGATCTGGGTTCAATTCCCAGCACCCACATAGCAGCTCACAACTGTCTGTAATTCCAGTTCCAAGGGTTCTGATGCCCTCTTCTGTCCTCCATAGACACAGCTACACCTGTGGTCACTGTCATACATGCCAGCAGAACATCCATGCATATCAAATAATAACAATTAAAAAACAGAGTGACTTCTTTTCTATGATCTATCCCTTCAATAGACCTTTGTTCCGATTTACAGCTCTGTAGAAAGGATGTGGGACAATGCGATAACTGCAATTGGTACAGAGGAAAAGTGCTAGGGGTTGCAGCTTGGTAGATGAAAAAGAGAGGGTGAGAAAGAGAGGAGGGAAGGAGGGAAGGCAAGAGAGATCGATTTCAGAGAGTAAGTGAATTCTTGATAGGCGCTAGGAAAGCAGGGGCTCCTGTGACGTTAGGAATGCCATGTTTAGCCACCTTTAAGTACTCAGTGAAGGGACTCCCAGAGGAAGCTGGGAGGAATGAGAGTGAAGAATGAGGATATGGTTGACTGGAAAGGGAGCAGTCGTCACTGATTAGTGTCATCCAGAGAAGAACTCGGGTTATCCCTTTTCCTGTCCAAGTAGACAAGGTCAGGATGCTGTTTTTCACTTCATTGTTTCGCTCTCCGTTTTCAGGGTTTATAAAGGAAGTTCTGTCTTCACACCTGAAATTACCAACAGTAATTGGTGAGTATGAACTTTATATGTGATATGTATGCATATATTTCACATAGCAACAGAGTTTTTTTTTACATGGTTTTCAAATGTTGGTGTATTTTTAATATATCTCGCCCAGATCTATAATCTCATTGAGAGAGAAAAATAAAACTTGGTATTTATCTTTCTCCAAGTCTGTTTCTTCCCTTTACATAATTTTTCCTGTTCCATCCATTTTTTCCCTGAAAATGTCATGAGTTCATTTTTCTTTAAAGTGAAATACAGTTCCATAGTATATAATAACATTTTCTTTATCTATGGATGTCTAGGCTGGTTCTGTTTCTTAGCTGTTGTGAGTAAGGTAGCAACAAACACGATGAGCTAGTATCTCTGTGGTGGGGCTTAGAGGTTTGGGTGGATGTGCCGGAGAGGTGTATCTGGGTCATATAGACATCACTTTGCATTGCTTATTTTGCAGTCTGTACTACTTCAGCTATATTGGTTCCCCCAACTCATCACAAATTACAAACTTTATCTTTTTACTCCTAAGCATGTATATATTCTGTTTCTTGGCATATTTTCCCCTGACCTGTTTTGCTCATTTATGTTTGCAGTGAGCTTGCTTCCTCATCTGATAACTTAGATTAATTTCCCTTGTCGTGTGCTCTTATTAGTTCATTTCTGTTTCACAGTACTTATTCCATACAAGTAACTGTTCTTGGTTTTAATTATTTGATTAATGTTATCACCTCCTATTTGTCTGGAAGTGCCAGTGGCCTAGGGATAATTTCAGCTCTAGAATACAGTGAAATCTTGGTTCTTATCTTACTGTTAAGAAAAGCTAATTAAATTTAGTATACCAGATATTGTTTTGGACCTTTTATGATAACTCATAATTTAAAACATTCATTGAATGAATGGCTTGCTTTATCTCTTTAGCCTTGCTGTTTATCATGCGTGTTTTTGTATTTATTCTATAGCCATACTACTTACCATAAGTTAAATTGCTTCAGTTTGCTTTTGGGTCCATGTTTTTGTATATACTATTACTTTGTAATATTTCTTGTTGGGTCAACTTACCCTTGCCCCACCACCCAGGAGCTTGGCTCAGCTGTTATATTCCATTTCATAGAGCCTTATTCTGAGTTTATTAGGCACTAATGAAGTGAGAAGGTTAATCTGAGGTTGATCTTGTGTCTTTTCTCATAGCACCGATTATGTAATAGATTTTAATTATGTTTACACAGAAGGCAGAGTCAGTCTCTCTCATTAAGGAATTTATAGGAAGCTCTTTGATAAAAGGGGTTGGTTTTTCGATGGTGCTTGTTGGTAGCTGTAAAATGACCATTAAGTGGAAAGGATGTAGATGGTGTTTTTTCCCCAGTGATGTTCATGAAGGCTTGAATCACTTTGTGTAACTTAAGGGTATGGAAATAAACACAACTTCGTTTTGAAGTTCAAAAGAGAAATGGTGTAGATAAAAAATGTAAAACACCAACGCTTTAAAATATAACTTATATTATAAATTCTGTGAGATGTGTAGGACTGTCATTTTGGCTATAGAGGTTGTGGACAGAAGAACCTGGTTTAGAAAGAACATTGATAAACTTGTAATAAAGCTCTATGAAATGGAGTCCAGGTTCCTGCCCTGACTTCCCTTCATGAAGGACTAAGCCGTAAGGTGAAGTAAACCGTTTCCTCCCCAAGTGCTTGGTCAGTGTTTATCACCGTGACAGAAAGCAAGCTAGAACATCCATCTGTTTGCCATAAACTTTTTTAAAACTTAAATACTGTTTGACATAAAGAGGTCATCATTACCAATAGAAAATATTTTTCTTTTACTAGATTTTTGGTTCTGCTAAGTATTTAACACGTGGCTTTGCCCATAGTAGGTTTCGGATAAATTGGTTTGTATTTTTTTTTAAAGACAGGTTCTCTGTTATGTGTCTTTGACTGTCCTGGAACTCTCTCTCTAAGTAGACCAGGCTGACCTCAAACTCGTGGAGATCTGCCTGCTTCCGCCTCCTGAATGCTGGGATTAAAGACATGCGCCACTACTACCAGCCCTTTATGTACTTTTTATAATAGTATGCTGTACATATTTATCTCTGTAGAGATCCAAGAAGCTGCTGACAGCTTGTCACATGTTGATAATGGCAAGATCTCCATATCTGACTTGAAGAGTGCCTTGAAATCTCTGCATACTAATCTAAGTGAAGAAGACTTCAGAGACACTCTTGAGCAATGTGACATTGGTGGTGAGTTGCCCCCCTTTTATTTTTTGCTTAAGAATATCTTCATTTTTCCTACTCCTGGGAAATGTAGAAATGTAGAATATATATACCAGATTAACATGAGAAATAGAGTCATGTTATTGGAAGCTTGGTTGATATAAGTCAGGGCCATATCTAACTGCTCATGCTCATCTGGTTATGATACATACTTATTAGATAATTACCATTCGTTAACTGCAAGCCCGAGTGGGGAAATATCATACACTGTAGAAAGTATTTTGTCTTGATGTGGAATCTTTCTTTAGAGGAGATCCAACTTCACCTGTCCTTTTATAGATAGTGCTTGTCACAAATGATTTTTAACCAAATAAATTAAAATGTGTTTTAAAAGTCCAGTTGTTTCATTTGAGTAATTGTCTCCCAAGTGGCTCCATATTTACCCTTGTTTCCCACCACTGACTTTAGTGATACATACTTGATCCCTTTTCATGAGTTACGTGCATGTAACTGTAAGTATGTGTGTATGTATATGCATATTACTTTTAGAAAATGAAATCATTTGGCAGTCTTCTAGAAGATGCTGATTTTCATTGGTTTGTGGTGAGCTTTTATTTTGAGAATATCTGTCTTTTGTTTTCTGTGGGAATCCTAAGTGTTCTAGGTTTGGAAGCGCCTGTCTCACACAATTTGGTTATTGATTTTTGTCACCTTCTCTATGGTGGATGTATCTGAGGAGGCTGAAGGGGGCATTGGATCCTCTGGAGCTAGAGTTAAGGAAGCTGTGAGCTGCTGGACATGGGTGCTGGGCACTGAAATTGAACCTTTGATTTTGTCACATCCAAGTGACATAAATTTAGGCTCCAAATCCAGAGGAGATTCTGGATGGAACTTCAGTTTCTTACTGGAATATCCCCTCCCCTACACTGTGTGTCAGATTGGATAATTTAGGTCTCCTTCTTCATACTGAGTTAGTAAACATACAGCTTCCTTTTTTAACTTTAAGGCTTTAGTTTTATTTTTTACTTATGTGTACACGAGTGCCACATGTGTGCAGGTACCAGAGGAGGTCAGAAGAGGGCATCAAATCCTCTGGAACTAGGGTCCAAGGTGGTTGTAAACTACTGGACAGGGGTGCTGGGAGCTGAACTTGGGCCCTGTGGAGGAGCAGGAAGCATTCTTAACTTCTGAGGTTCTCTCTTCAGCCCCTGTATGCCTCCCTTTTACTGGTTGAAAGGAAGAAGTCCTTTATACATCCCAGTTTACTTGGGATATGGTCTAACCCCCATTTTAATATAGACTCAGGTCTTTTGAATGCTTCTGAATGAACATTTAGGTAAATTTTCTAGTCATTTCTGGATCTTAATTTTATCTCCAAGATGGCTGTAGTGTTGCTACTCACTGCTCAGCAGTCTATGTCTTAGTTCCCGGTTAACCGTTCTTATTTCTTTAACAAGACTCTGGTCATAGATGAATAGCCTGGTACCTTTTATATGGTGTCTCCTGGGGTTTATCTGGTATGTTTCCTGGGTTGCCCATATTGTCATTTCATTATAGTTTAGACTCTCTCAGAATTACTGTGACTTTGTATCAGTATTTGTATACACTTAGAGTAACATTGTCACTCCTGCAGTGAGACTGAATCATTTCAAATAACAGCCTCTAGAACTTCCTGGTCCTATCATTTGAACAAGCTAATTTCCCTTTGCTTTCATCTTTTAGCAATAGTTATATTAATGATACACAGACATATAATACCGCAAAGATTAAATGAATTAATACACATAAAGTATCATATATAACGGGAATAAAATGATATTTTATATTAACAATGAATCATAAGTGTTAGAAGTTCTATTGAAATAGTTCTTATAATTTGAGAAAAGTGAATGAAAATGAATTTATAATTATTGTGAATCATAATTTTAATTTCATGTGCTGATTAAATACAACATTTTTTAATGTCAGCATGCTTGATTTTGACCTTCCAGATAACATGGAGGTGAACTTAAAAGATTTCTTAAAGGAAATGAAAAATGCTCCAAGCTTTAAGGATTCCATAGGTATGTGAGTACTTCTGCTTCAAGAAGGTGACCGGAAACTTTTATGTATTTTAAAGACTTACGCATGTGTGTATGCACGCATATGTGCATGAGAATGGTCCTGTGGGTGCCCATGAAGGTTAGAGACATTGAATCTCCAGGAGCATGGATTGCAGGTGATCCTGAGTCCCTCAGTGTGTGTGACAGGAACTGAACTGGGGCAATCTGTGAAGAACAGTACGTGCTCTTAACCACTGAGCCATTTCTTGAGCCCCTAGATGTATATTTGTAATTGACACGTAAGTTATAAACATAAACCTTGCCTTTTAAAATATATGCTTTATTGGTTTTGACCACAAGTCATATATCTGCCTCAGCCTTCCCATGCCTGGGACTACAAGCATTCACTACCACACTGAACTCATCTTGTTTTAAGTGTGCACATTTTCTTACAGATCTCTTATTTTTTTCATTTCTCACAAAACTGTCAGCACACACAGGCTTTACGTGCCCTGGTTAGAAATGCCCTCCGCGTGGCTGCAATTCAGCTAGCTCTTGCCTCAGGCCTTATTTTTAGTTCCCTTCTTGGGCTGACTTGCTTCCTGAGTGTATATTTTTCCTTTCTATGAATCTTCCTGTATTTTGCTAGTGTCCATTTTCCATGAGAGTCAAAGAAAGGAAACATGAGAGTTCGGAGGTTTGAGTCTTTGAGTACTTGTAAATATCCCCCTTTTACCTTCGTCTTCCTTGGTTCTGTGTTTATCAATCACTTTTCTTAAGGCTGTGACAACATGCCTGACGAAATCAGTGTGAGAAAAGGCTGTTCTGTTGGGTTCCAGTCTGAGGCACAGCCCGTCATGACACAGTAGGGCTGCAGGAGCATGAGGCAGTCACAGTCGAGAAGCAGAGAGAAATGCACGCTGCTGCTCAGACCTCTTTCTCCTTTCCATTCCGTTCAGGACCCAGCCCATGGGATGGCGCTGCCCACATGCAGGCTCTCTCCCGTTCAGTGTCAATCTTTCTGGAAGCACCCTCGATAGACTTAGCTAGAGATGTATTTCTATGTTGGTTGTAAACCTGTATGACTGACAGTCAAGATTAAAGTTCATGATTAGAATATTAAATGTTGCATCTATTAAAATGCTTATCATCTAGTAGTTGTTCTGGAGTTGTTTGCCTTCCTATATCTATCCAGCCATGCTTTCTATTTGGTATACATACAAACGTACATACATACATATATATGTATATTTATCTTACATATATTCTCAGTTATGGCCAGTGTTAACAAGAGCTGGAGGAAGAAACTTTCTGGGCCAACAGACATCTGGGCATTTATGTCTGCCAAGAGTAGTATTTATTAATAATTTCGAACAAAATGACAGCATGTTTACATTTTGCTCCTCAGGACAACCCTTTTGGTTTAGCAGCACAACCTTTAGTTAAGTAATTTAAAGGTTTTTGTAACACTTCACAGTGGTCCCAGGGCTCAACATGTGAAGCAATCAGTGGTCCAAGGGATAGTTTGACTACCCAAATGTGTCTGTTTGAAAGGTACAGTAGTTAAAAGCTTTGGCTTTGGACCCATGTTGCCTGAGTTTGAATTTTGTTCTTACCATGTAATTAATCAATTAACCAATGCACTCTTCAGCAAGACTAAGTCTTGCTGGCCTCAGTCTCTTCACCTGAAAGATGGACATCCTATCAGTTACTTTTCAGGTTATTGTGAGATCGAATAGGTGAGGTGCTTAGAGCAGTGTCGAGCACTAAGGTTTTGATGATTGTTAGCTCCTGTTTTTAAAGCTGTGTTCAAAGTTTCATGTATGTTTCCATTATTTTATGCAACTTGAGTCAAGGGGTGGGTAGCACATGGTGTCTGCTGTTGAAACATTTTCTTTGGTTGTTTTTCTATAGTCACACAGATGCTCCTAGCCACTCCCCAAGTTCTCCAGAAGGATCTAATTGACGCCTCTGGCTTCAAGAAGTTATTGGTGGATGACAATCTTCCTTCCGCTAAGGCCATACTGACGGAAGTGTTAAAAAATGTGCCTGAGCATGGTAAGTGCTTTTAATCTATCTGCCTTAAATGGACTGTTCTCTACCGGTGAAGGAGGAAGGTATCTAGGTAGAGAACACAGGACAGAGGGTGGTCCTGTACCAACTGTAGTGGGGTGACTGGCCACGCTACCCTACTGGGGTGCCAACTCGGAGCTCCACAGAGCCAAATAAAGCAGGGAATCTAGGGCCCATCCTGTCCCTGTGGGAAGCCAACAGCGGTGCTTATGGAGTGAGATAATCTGGTGAACTGACTGTCATGGGCTGTGAGCAACCAGAATTCTACCTGCAGAGCAGAGCAGGTTCCTGGGGCCCCAAGTCAGGTGCTAATCCACCAGACGCTGCATCACTGCTGCACACAGTGGTGGCTCAGAGAAGCAGATGTACTAATGTACAAGATAACTTTATTATTTTAATGACAGATGTGGTTGGATGTTGTCTTTACTAAGTTCTTAAAATGATTTGGAGAATATTCTTTCTATTTTCTTCCTCAAATATTTAGTAGAACTCACAAATGAAGACATGTACTGAGAGATTGTTTTAAAGTTTTAGTGTGTGT